ACTGTGTGTGTAAACATGCTGTGTGTGCAAGCGAACACGCTGTGTGTGAGAGCATGCTGTGTGTGAACACGCTGTGTGACCATTGTGAGCACGTTGTGAGTGTATGTGTGAGCATGTTGTGGGAGTGTGCATACATGTGTGGGTGTATGTATGTGTGTTCGTGTGTGCATGTGTGAGGGTGCGTGAGGCTCCAGCCACAGGAGCCCAGACCGAACAGCTGCATGGGAGAAGAAGCTTTAGGGCGCCACCCCCACTCACAGCAAAGCTAGGAAGCGGGTGTGAGGGGACACTGCGGCTCGGGGTACAATTCCCGCTGCTCCAGGAGGGACCCCTCAGCACTGCAAGGGCCCCAAACCAAAAGGAAAAAATCTCTGCATATTAGGTATATTTACCACAAGTTTTTTTAAAAAATTTTTATTAGTGAAACACCATGAGGTACAGTTGTAGACCCATAAATTTTTGTGCTTGAGTTTCAGTTATACAATGATCGAGTACCCATCCCTCCACCCACCAGTGCCCATTCTCCACCACCAATGATCTCAGTATCCCTCCCACCCCCTATCCCTCCCCGCCCCCCCCCCCCCCCCCCCCCCCCGCCTCTGTGGCTGGGCATTCCCTTTTGTTCTTTCTCTCCTTCTGGGTGCTGTGGTTTGCAAAAGAGGCACTGAGTAGCAATCATGTTCAGTCTATAGCCTACTTTCAGCATGCAGCATGCATCTTCCATCCTCCCAACACCCTTTATTTGGTGCTCCCTTCTCTATTTGAGCTGCCTTTTCCCCCAGCATGTGTGGCTGGCCTCCAAGTCATGGAGTAAACCTCCTGGTACTTATCTCAGGATAAATCTCGGCTATTCTTGGGTGTTAGTCTCCTATTTGGTTACTTTATGTTCCCTAGATGAATGCAATCTTTCTATGTCTGTCCCTCTCTTTCTGACTCATTTCACTTAGCATGATACTTTCCATGTAGTACCACTTGTATGTACATTTCATGACTTCATCTTTTCTAACAGCTACATAGTACTTCATTGTGTAGATGTACCAAAGTTTCTTTAACCGGTCATCTGTTCTCGGGCACTCAGGTTTTTTCCAGATTCTGGCTATTGTAAACAGTGCTGCAATGAACAAACAAGTGCAGATGTCACTTCGACTATACTTTTTTTTTTGCCTCTCTGAGATATATTCCCAGGAGATATTTACCACAAGTTTTAAAGTGTCCGGACTCCTGAGCCCAGACAGACTGCGGAAAGGCCGTGGGGCGCAGAGGCAGGGGGCATCCGCCAAGGGCAGCAACCTGCGGAAAAGAGAGACACGCTCTGGGGTACCACAAACCAAGGTCACACAAAGCAAGCAAACAAGATGCGGGCCTGCCTCAGTCCCGCCTGAGCGAGAGGCCGAGGAAGTGAGCGGGAGCGGGGTCACAGTCTCCCAGAGGACCCAGTCATGCCACATGGCAGAGAGGGGACACCGGGGACTGTGGACATGCGGCATCTGTCGCCGAGCAGGATCTGCCCCCACGCCGAGCAGGATCTGTGCCCCCACGGCCACGGGTCTGGCATGGGGTCAGTGTGTGGGAGGCTAGCAGGGGCCTTCACTGTCTATTAAATCTATTTTCTTTGTTTGGGGGCTACACCCATGGTCTCAGGGACCCGTGTGTGGTGCTGGCTAGCCTCCAGCATCTTCGGTTCTATCTATTAAGGAAAAGAAGGAAAACGCTCCGAGTCATCAGGCAGAGGGTGGGCCGGGGGTGGGGGACTGCTTGGTGTTCGTGGGTGTGAGTTGTCATGGGTGTGAGTGTCTGGAACTCGGGATCTCTGGTGATTGCACCAGTGTGGGTAGTGGAGGCCTTTGACATCACCGTGAGGCGGTGGGTGGAGGTTTGTGCATGTCCTTTGGGGAAGTGGCTGAGGGACAAAGGGGGTGTCAAATCAGCCACCCATGGGCAGCTTCTGTCCATCACGATTATGCACTGCCCACGGGAGTGCCTGCACCCTGCGGCAGGATGGCACGCCCAGCCTCTTAGTGCCCATCTCACCCTGGAGTGGCTTCAGGGGGCCTGGCCAGGAGAAGTGAATCTCCCCCGCCCCCCCCCCCCCCACCTCCGGCCTGTGGGGCTGTGCTCCAGGGAGCCGTGCAAAGTCTCTGAGATGGCTCTCTGAGCATGAGCTGATCCCCGCCAACCTATCAGACCAGGTCACTCAAAGCCTGAGTGACGGCCTCGCGTGGAGGATGTAAGGGACAGGCCCAAAATGGACTACCACCAGAATTAATTTAGCTTAGCTTAATAGGAAACTGCATTGCAAAATAACTTGTTTTTCAAGGAACAGGTCTAGATAAGCTTTTTCAGATCCGCTTTATAGGAGCCTGCACTGCAAAATAACTGGTTTTTCTGCCCCTGACCAAGGAATTCAGATACAGGTACTCGAAGGGTGGGGGTCAGACCAGATAACCGGATGTCTCTCACAAGACCCACGTTGCAAGACCCAGGACTGCCTTAAAAACCTGTCAGTTCCTAAGCACTGACGCAAAATGCTGATCTTTAAACTATAGGCTAAGAAGTGATGTACCCTTAATTGGATTGGTTAAGAAAGCATATGTTGTTACAAATCTATTGGCTATGAAATGTGCGGGCTTTGCTGTAACGGCCAGTGAAGGCCTATATAAGACCCCCTTTGAAGAAGTTCGGGGTCTTGCCTCACCTAACTGACCTGCGTGTCTGTGTAGGCGGCTTGACCCTGGCTAGCCAGTCTTACAATAAACCTTGCTTGCTGTTTGCAGTCTCTGGAGTTTCTTTGTCGTTAAATGGAGATCACGATCCGCGCCTTAACAGAGGACAAGGGCCACCGAATGACAGTGTGCAGGGGACCCTGGGCAGTTGGAGAGGCCAAGGACCCGAGGGGCGGAGCTGCTCTGGGGAAAGGACACCATGACTGACATGGCGGCTGTCCACTGTCGCAACAGTAGCATGTAGGGGCAGAGCAGCTCTGGCTTTTGGGTCACACCTGGCGATGCACAGCGGTTACTCCTGGCTCATGCACTCAGGAATTACTCCTGGCGGCGCTCAGGGGACCATATGGGATGCTGGGAATCGAACCCGGGTCAGCCATGTGCAAGGCAAATGCCCTACCTGCTGTTCCATCACTCCAGCCCCCTGACCCTGAGTTTTGACAAACTTGAAAACTCAAAAAACACCTCCCACCCCTCCCCCCACTTCCGGCTGAAACTTCTGGAGGTCAGAAGCAGGAAGTGAGTGCACTGCAAGGGCAGGGGAGCCTGGCCCTGAGAAGCCACAAATTCACACAGAGAAGGAAGTAGAGGAGGGCGGTAAGGGTGCTGACCAAGCCCTGGAAGGGCCTGTCTAGACCCGGCAGGAAGGGCCCTGTGCCCTCACTCTCACTGCAGGGTGCCAGCTGTCCGTCAGACACAACTCTGAAAATCCCGAAGGGCCCACCTGAGACACAGACCGCAGGGAGGCACAGGATGCCAGGAGTCAGCCCTGAGCACTGCGGTTGTGATCCAAACACAAAACCCCAAACCATACATTGGAGGGAAGCAGGGGAGGGGGCACGGGCACATGGGAGCAAGGAGGAAACAACCTTTCATTCAATCATTCTCTCCTCAGGGACAGACAGAGGAGGAGCAGAGGAGGGAGGAAGGGGAGGGGAAAGAGAGGAGGGGGGAGGAGGGAGAAGGGAGAGGGAGGAAGGAAACGGAGAGAAGGGAGAGAAAAGAGGAAGAGGGAGGAGGGAGAGGAGAGAGGACTGAGAGAGAGGGAGTGGCCAGGGGAGATTAGAACTTGAGAGAGAATTTGGGTAGGGCTGGAGCGGAGAGGGAGGCCTGGGGCTGAGGCAAGGCTTCCCAGGGCTAGAGGCCAGGCGACCCTGGAAGGGTCTGGAGGGCGCTGGTGAGAGCAGGCAGCCTGCGGTGGACAGGGGTGCAAGGCCCATGAGAACTAGGTCTCTGCAGGCCTGGTAGGGTTGTCTGCTCCTCGCAGCACCCAGCACTGGCAGGAGGCTTCTCCCACTGGATACCAGGAGCGGGAGGGGAGGGGAGATGGGGAAGAAATCAAGGCAGAAGGGGGGCCTGCTCCAATGTGCTGCCAGGCACCCTTCACCCAGCCCCCTCCCTTGTCCCCCTCCCCCGTGACCCCTCTCCCCCTGGCCCCTTCACCCTGCCCTCCCTCCCCCTGGCCACCTCCTCCCCTCCCCGTGACCCCTCTCCCCCAGGCCCCTTCGCCCTGCCCCCTTCACCCTGTCTCTCTCTCTGTCTCTCTCTGTCTCTGTCTCTCTCTCTCTCTCTCTCTCTCTCTCTCTCTCTCTCTCGGCAGGATAGGACACAGGGTGATACCTGTGATACCTCTCTGGGGTAACTGCATCTCCCCGTTTACCCACTTCCTCCTGGGGTGGGGGGAGGCTCAACCAGCCCCACGGTTTCCGGTGAGCTTCACACCCTGGGCCCCAGGCAGCCAGGGAAGGGCGGAGGCGGCTGCAGGGGCCCCGGGGCGAGGAAGGGGCCGGGGGCGGAGCCCTCTGCGCTGCGATTGGGAGACGCTCAGAGGACAGGAGCGCCTTCAGCCCCAAATCTATCGCTTTCACCGACATCCCGGGACCAGAAACGTCCGAAGACGAGGCGCCCGTTAGAGGGGCAGGACTGGGCCGCCGGGGTGACCCGCGAGGTTCCGGCGTGGAGGGGGCCCGGGATAAGCCCCGCCCGCGACCACGTCCACCACGCCCCGCTCTCCAGAGCAGCCCCGCCCAGTAGGAAAGAAACGCCCACTCGGGTGCGGCCACGCCCACTCGGAAAGGCCCCCCCTCACTAAGAAAGACACGCCCACCCTGGAAAAAGGCCCCGCCCATTAGGGCGGGTCAGGGCCACTGGGAAGTCCCGCCCACCCAGCAGGCCCCGCCCTGCGCCTGCGCGGGGCACGGAGGAAACACTTTCCGCGGCTGTGCTTCCGCCCGGCCCGCGGCGCGGGCAGCTTCCGGCCCGCTTCCTGCAGGCTCCGCACGCGTGCCCGCGGCTTCCGGCGCGGCCGCCCCGCGATGGGGAAAGTGAGGGCGCTGCGGAGTCGCGTGCACCGCGCGGCCGTGAGGCCGGCGGGGGAGGCGGCGGGCGGGCCTGCGCGCCCGGAGGACCTCACCGCCTGCGCGCGCGCGCCGCCCGCGCCTCCCCTCAGCCAGGCCTCGGGGGGCGCCGGCGTCTTCTCGGGCACGCGGATCGAGCCCGGCGTCCTGGTGCAGACGCTGGAGCCGGACACGCGCAGCGTGGCCTCCGCCGGGCCAGGTGGGTGGGCGTCCCGAACCCCCCGCGGCTCCGGACAGGCGCCCTCGGCCCCGGCTGGGACCCCAGAGCCCCGGCTTGGGGCCTGGGAGTCTTCCCGAGCCTGGAACCCCGTGGTCCTGTGCGAACCCGGGGGTCCTGCACGGGCACCGTGGGGCAGCGGGAGGGGCGGGGGGGTGGGAGCGTCTCGGCAAACGTCGGCATCCGTGAGGAGGGTCTGGATTGGATGCCCTCCTCCCGTGGCATCTGTGAGAGGGGCGGAATGGGGTGCCCTCCTCCCGTGGCATCTGTGAGAGAGGCGCCCTCATCCCGTGGCATCTGTGAGACGAGCAGGATGGGGTGCCCTCCTCCCGTGGCATCTGTGAGAGGGGCGGGACAGGGAGCCCACCTCACGTGCCATCCGTGAAAGAGGCTCCCACCTCCCGTGGCATCTGTTAGAGGGGCAGGACTGGGCGCCCACCTCCCGTGGCGTCTGTGAGAGGGGCAGAATGGGGTGCCGTCCTCCCGTGGCATCTGTGAGACGAGCAGGATGGGGTGCCCTCCTCCTGTGGCATCTGTGAGAGGGGCGGGACAGGGAGCCCACCTCACGTGCCATCTGTGAGAGAAGCGCCCACCTCCCGTGGCATCTGTTAGAAGGGCAGGACTGGGTGCCCACCTCCTGTGGCATCTGTGAGAGGAGCGGAACAGTGTGCCCTCCTCCTGTGGCATCTGTGAGGAGTGTCTGTATTGGCTGCGCACCTCCCATGCCTCCTTGGCCACCCGTGCAGGGCTGGCTGCCTCTGGAAGGGACTAGCTTGTGGGCAATATCTGTGACTGACGTGGGTGGCCAGGGTGTCTACCTCCAGGGTGAGACCAGAGTGCTGTGCCACCACCCCCTGCTGGTCACAAAGCTCCTCCCGCCGCTCTCCTTGGTCATGTCCACACCCCTACCAGCCTGCGGCCTGCAGGCAACGGGAAGCTGTCCACAGCCCTGAGAGTGGGGACCTGACCCTGGTCAGTCTGGCTCTGGTTGTGGTGGGGCGTGTCCCCTCCTACCTGGGCTGTGAGTGGCTGCGGTGCAGGGTCTGCCCAGCAGAGGGCAACAGAGCCACACAGGCTGCTTTCTGGGACCCAGCGCCCCTCGGCTCCCACCTGTGGATCAGGGCCCATACCCACATGCCAGGCAGGTCAGCATCTGCTCAGCTCCTGGGGGCTAAACTTGAGCTGGGTCCCTTGCTTGCTGCCTGGGACTCCCAGGTCTTTGCTCTCTTCCCTAGGCCACTGCCTTTGCTCCAGGGGCCTTGGTTGTGGGTGCAGCCTGGCATGGCCAGCCCCCAACATACAGGAAGCAGGACTTCAGCGGTGCATGAGTGGCTGGGGAGGGACCCAGGGTGCTGGCTGCAGTCTGTGACACCTCATCTCTGCCCTGTTCTTCGAGGGACCTTGGGTGCCCTGTGCTGCTGCCTAAGGCCAGAAGGGCCCACCCCAGGACTCCTATTCTCTGTTCCCAGGTGTGGAGCACAAGGCCATTTTGCCCAAGAAGGAGAAGCTGCGGTTGAGACGGGAGCGGTGGCTGCAGAGTGAGTACATCTCTGCAAGGGTGAGGGGTGCAGAGTGAGGGGACCCCTGCAAGGGGGAGGGGTGCAGAATGAGGAGATCCCTGCAGGGATGAGGGGTATAGAGTGAGGGGATCCCTGCAAGGGGGAGGGGTGCAGAGTAAGGGTGTTCCTGCAGGCGGGTGTCTCGGGACCCTCCTGGGAACTGAGGACATGGGATGCACCTGAAGGGGTACAGGGAAGGGGTGTGTCCCAGAGACCCGCCCACTACCCCACAGACCTTCCTTCCTTCTGGGCCTGTTGGGCATGTGGAAGTGATCCTGGTCCTTCCCCTGACCCCTGAAGCCACATGGGCAGCCCATGGGGGCCAGGATAAGAGGCAGAGGTGAGTCGGGGGTGTTCTCTGAACTCCCCCTTGTGTGGCTGTAGGGCAGGACCCAGCCCATCCCACTCTGGCTGCTCCCTCACCCCAGGGCCCGTCACGGGGTCCCTCATTCTGGGTGAGAACCAGCCCGAGAGCAGCTGTCCCTGCATCCTGCCCTTGACGGCCACGTGTGGGGTCAGAGGGTAGGCGGTACTCTCACCCTGCTGCTATGGATGCGGTCCGGTTCCCGGGGTCCTGGCTCACGCTGTGTTACTGCAGAGATTGAGGCCATCAAGCAGACGGCGCGGGAGCAGCAGGCAGCACGCAGGCGCCGGGCTGCAGTGGTGGTGGGGGACCTGCAGCCCCTGCGGGACGCGCTCCCCGACCTGCTGCAGCTGGAAGCGGTGGCCAGGGCCCCCCGCAGCCGCAGGTGAGGCGGGGGTGGGGGGGACTTACTGTTCTGCGCTTCTGCCTTGGGCTCCCCGCCTCCCCGCTCTGTGGCCCCCATGCAGTGCAGCTTGGCATACCCCCTGCAGGCACATGTGTGCCCGTGTCCGCCCCTCGTCGGCCCCTTACTCCGCCCATCCCTGTATGCACTCTCCTGCCCACCCACCATCCCTCGCCCTGTCCACTCACGTGTCCCTTCCTCATCTACCCAACATCCATCACCATGTCCACCCCCGTGTCCACAGCCGACCGAGCAGCAGGCCACAGGCCACTGAGCTGAGCCGCATGAGTACCACACAGAGGCAGCAGCTGCTGTGAGTACCAGGCCGCCCTGGGATGGGCCCCTGCGCGGGGGTGTAAGGAGGCCGAGCCTCTCCCGATGGTCTCCCTGCCCCTGAAGTCTGGGCTGCGGCCTGTCCCGCCCTGCCTGGGAACCCCTGTTGGACACGGTGCCCCCCAGGGCATCACTCCCACTGGGAGCTTCTAGACCAGCCCCGGGGTCCTCTGCACTGGCCCTGCCCTCCCTTAAGGGCCATGTGGGGTGGTTACTGACCCTGTTCCCCCACTCCCTGTCTCCACCCTCCACCCCCATCCCCACAGCGAGGAGGAAAGGACGCGCTTCCGTGAGCTGCTGGCAAGTCCCACCTACAGGGCCTGCCCCCTGCTGGCCATCCGGGAGCAGCTACACAGCCAGGCACTGTGACACCCTGTGATGCCACTACAAACCCGCCACCGCCGTGACGCCATGGGGGCCAGGGGCCCAGAGAGTCTGTGCCTGCTGGCTGGCATCTCCCTGACTCCTGAGGACTGGCTGGCGTGTGCGGAGCCAAGTGTGTGAACTGTAGCCGAGGGCTCCGAGACCGGGAACACCTGTGGGACAGGGTACCCAGGGCCCCCCTCTTTACCTCGGCAGCCGCAGTATAGCACCTTTAATAAAGACACTCAGCCTTCCTAACTGGGCCCCGCTGCCCACCCAAATAGGAGCCGCTGGCCACAGCCCATGGGGTCCCAGTGCTAGGGGTCTACTGATGAAGTGTCACAGTTTCCCGGCTCCGGCCCGTGTGCGTGTAGTGTATGTGGGCGTGTGGGTGAGCTGTGTGCTGTGCTCGCACATGTGTTTGGGGCAGACGAACTCCCCGTGTCCCGGGAAGGGCTGTGTGCTCCCTACAGCCTTGTCAAGCCTTTGATGTCCGTAGCTCGGGGGGACATCCTTGGGTCCTGGGGCTCTGCAGAGCAGCCCCAGCTCTAGTGAAACCTCACATTTTAGGGGCAGGTGTGGGGACCTGACTTCTTGACCACACCTGTACCTCAGGGGCACGTACAAGGGATGCTGACCTCTGGAATAGACATTGCGGGACAGGTCCTGGGGGGTAGCGGAGACCACCCAGTGAGTGGACAGCAGGCCCCAGGGAGTGTCCTGGGGGCAGGGCTGCTCCCCACGAGGCCAGGGTGGGATACCGGTCTTCACCTCCCTGTGTGATCTTGGGACGCCCAAGTCCTTCCCTCCTGGGCCCCCTTGCCCCACCACAGCTGCCCCTGAGTGGAGTGCCCACCTCCTGGATTCCCTCCCCCTCCCCCGCTGATCATGTGCATTCAATGGCTCAAGGGTCCACAGGGCACTCGGGGTCAGACCGTGCTGTTGAGACACGAAGGTTCTTTCTGCGGGTCCCAGCAGGCTCCTGCGTGCTACCAGCATGCCCTGCTGAGTGGGTGCAGGGCCCCGCTGCCCCTGACCACACTGGGCAGAGTTGCCCAACTGATGGTGTTTCCAGAGGCCAAGGAACAAACAGGCTTCCGGAAGCTGCAGGAACAGCCTGTGTCCTGGGAGGGAAGGAAACCAAGGCTGACCACACCCTGGCCAGATGCAGGCGGCCAGCCGGGCCTGCGCAGCACAGACATGTGGAGGGCACAGGCAGGGAGGCGCTGGCCAGGGTCAGCACAGGCACGGGAAGGGTACAGGTGGGGGGCGCTGGCCAGGTCAGCACAGGCAGGGGGGCGCTGGCTGGAGTCGGTAAAGACACGGGGGTGGGGCACAGGCCGGGGGTGGGGGGGCACTGGCCAGGGTCAGCACAGGCAGGAGGAATGGTGGAGCCCCACCCACACTCAGAGCCATTCTGGGACCTGGCCCAGGGCAGGGAGCTGTTTGGCCCCAGCAGTGGCCCAGGACAGCAGGGATGGAGACCCCCGTGGGATGGGGAGCACTGGGGAACTGGCCACAGTCACGCCAGGCCGTGAGGTCTGCCCCTCAGAGATGGTTTCAAGCTGCTTCCCCATCCCCCAAGCAGCATGGAGTCCCCTGAGGTTCCGGTCTCTGGGCTGGGGTATCTGCACCAGGCCTTGTAGGGAGCCTGGGGCCCCTACTCCTGCCCCATATGACGACTCAGGGCAGGAGTAGGGCACGGGGGTGGGGGGACCTCTGTGCCCAGCTCCCCTGGGCCCCCATCTGCCCAGGGCTCTGAGGGGTCAGAGTGGCTTTATTTTCAGTCTCCTGTGGGCAGGAGGAGGGTGTGCAGAGCTGTTCCTGAGCGCACGGACAGCAGTCTCCTGCTGGCTACTCGGGCTGCAGCTGTCTGGTCTGCTGGGAGCCGAGCTGGCCCAAGCAAGTGCAGGATGGTGGATGGGTCCAGCTCCGAGAGACACAACTGGGACTCAGGGTTGGGCAGGGACCTGCAGGCAGCTCCTTCCTAAGACGAAAGGGCAGCCACAGAGCCAGCTGTCCCAGGAGCCTGGCATCCAACACAGGAGAGGGCCTGCTGGCAGCCCGTGCTGCTCTGTCCTCTGGAAGCTTCCTTAACTGGCTTGAGTGCCTTTTTTTTTTGGGGGGGGGGCAGGGTGGGTGAGGAACCTCCCAAGCGTGGTAGAGGTGCAGGGGCGTGTGGGTGTGGGGTGGTGGATCGGGGTCTGGGCAGTAGGGGCAGCTTATGCTCTTCCAGCTGGCAGTTTGCTCCCCACTTTCTGCCCCTGTTGTGGGGGTCTACTTTGGGCAGGGGTGTGGGGGCAGGTGTGTGTCTGCTGTTCCAGGGCCTCTTGGCTGGCTTCCAGGTCTTGGAGTGGCCTCAGTCCAGGGCCAGGCGCAGAATGGGGGTGAGGTCCTGTCCCTTGGGACTGCAGGAGGCTGAAAGGGAGCATTTACCCTGATATGATGGGGTGGGAGACCTATGCTTTCCAAGGTGAAGTACAGCAGGGCCTCCCACCTGCAGCTCCGACTCCCCACCCCCCCTGCCAGCATCCCCACCCCCACCCCTACCCCTGTCCTGTCCCCATCCCCCAGTCCCCTCCCCCATCACAAACTCTGTCTTCACACCCCTGCCCCCACAGTCCTGCCCTATCACCACACCCCTGCCCCGCACTTCTGCCTTCATCCCCACACTCCTGTCCCACTCGCCCCTGTCCCCTACTCCTCACCCCTGCCCCCATTCCCTGGCTCTTGGCAGCTGGCCTCTGTGGAATGTCTCCAGGCTGGTTCCAAGCTTCTGTGATATTTGCAAACTGCCGAGCTGATCTGCCGAGCTGATCTTTGCTGCGATTTTCCCAGGATATTCTCTGCAAGCCTGTCTTCTCACCACAGGCCTGTTGGCACCCTGCCCCCTCCCTGCTGGGCGGGTGACCAAGGGGCCACAGGCCTGACTCTGGGACCCCTGCCAGCTGCCCCTCTCTGCTCCTTCCGGGAAAGTGCCTACATCCGCCCGTCCTCCAGCCTCATGAAGGTGCTCACCTGCCTGTCCCCTCCTGGCCACACCTGACTCCCGCCCCAGGCAGATGCCAGCACCTCCAGATCCGTGGAGGTTCTGTGTGGGTCCCGGAGGATGCAGGGACCTGCCTTCACAGCCCCATCCCAGGAGCGCAGCCAGCCACAGGCCCATCCGGCTCTACTTGCAGGTGGCCTGGGGGCCCTGCGGAGTGGGGTGGGGCTGGCAGGTCACGCTTGTGCGGGAGCCTCCTCACCACTGCTCAGGAGTGTAGCCAAGGCTATGGGGACTCTCCAGAGGTGACAGCCGCTGAGCCCCGGGCCTGCCCTCATCTCCGCTGCCCCGACATTCCGCAGTGACCATGGGATCCATCCCGTGTCTCTGCACAGAGCGTGTGCTGGGGACAAACGCATTGGTCAGGGCTGCACCCTGCAGTCTGCCATGTGGGGGAGGGTTCCAGGCTCTGTAGTGACCGCCCGCCGGTCCGCACCAGCAGCAGGCCCTGAGCTCACGCCCCTGGGCTGATGATGGGGCACGGCCTGCATGCCTAGTGGCCTGCAGCTTTGGTGAATCTGTTCAGAGCTGTGGGCTGAGTTTTCAGGGGTCGAGGATTCTGAGCATGAGTTCCTTGTGCAGCGGTTGCAGCCTTACCGAGCCGACTGCATCTTGCTGCTTGGGGCCACGTGTGCCTTTTCCTGGTGGCATATTGGGGCAGGACAGATGGGGGCTGGCGGTGAGTTCGCTGGAAAAAAATGAAAGCAAGGTGTGATCAAAGCAGTTGCTCTGTCACAGCCCTAAAGCAGCCCTAAAATAGCAGGAAAGCGTGAAGGTCAGGCCCTTTGCAGAACCAGGAAATCTGTTCCAGGAGGCCCTGCTGCCAGCCCACAGATGGCGGGGCGCCGCAGGCAGAAGCTCCAGCTGGAGAAAGGCTTTTGGGCAGATAAGAAAGTGGACACCCACAGTTCCAAGCTTTCCCCCTCGATAGTGGACTCTCCTCTCCATAGGAAGAGGAGAGGCAAACTTGGCAGAGGCAAACGGGGTGCTCCCACATCCGGGAGGAAAGGGGTGAGCCACCCTGTTCTTCCACTCTGGGCTTTCCTCGCTCTGGAGAAGCCTGCGTTCTCTCTGGAAAGCGTGCCCCGTTCGTGCTGCTGTTGATGAGGTGTGGGGTCAGGTGGGAGCATCCTGACCAGTCCCCATTCCCTGGGACTACTCTGCTGCCCACGGAAAGGCACTTCCTTCATGCTCAGTCCGTGGGAAGGCCGAGCTGGGGTGTGACGTGTCCACCCTGGGCTAGGCCTCTCCTCGCTGCTCGGCACTGCGGCGTGGCCCTGCCCTGTCTCAGCCACCCTGCAGCCAGCAGCCGGTCCGCAGCCGAGACTCCTTGGCTGGGAGGGAGATAAACATGCTTTCTTCTTGCCCTGGGAGGTAGCACATGCTCTGCGGGCTGCCAGGAACTTCAGGGAGAAAACTTGACAATCACTGATAACCCGCTGGCACGGCCTCTGTTTGCTGTTCTGAATAGTTTCCTATTTTCTTGTCCCGCTGGCCCCCGGCCCAGCAGTGTCCCGCCTGCAGGCCCCCAGCGCCTGCCCCCTGCGCCACTGTTGTGGCCTGCTGCCAGGGCTCCCAGCCCTTGCTGGGAGCTGCAGGGATCTTGGCCTGGGGGTCTGTGTTCCTGCCCTGGAAGGGGCAGGGGCAGGGAGGCTACCACAGCTGGGTGCCCCCTGGATCTCAGGCTTCTTTCCTTGTGTACAAATGCATCTGGGTTGGCCTATCCTCAGTGGCTCCTGACTTGCCAGCCAGGCTCAGGTAAGGTAGGCTGGTGGGGCCCGGGGAAGGCTGTCTACCCCTGGCCGCCTCCCAGGGGTACTCTGCCTCTGACACTGTCCTGGCCCAGTTCTTGGGCCTGTGTGGGGACTTGCTGGTCACCCCTTGGCACCAGCTCCTGCCTCAGATCTGTCAGGGGCCGACACCCCAAAGCAAGGGGGAGGTTTTAGCTGCTTCCAGGGTTGTGGCAAGCCAAGGCCTCTGGGCAGCACCCCTGGGGGTGACCAGTGTGGGAAGCAGGGCTCCTGGGTGGGCCTCGGAAGGGCTCTCCTCCCCCACCCGCTTAGGCCCTGTGCTTAGGGTAAGTGGGCAAGTGTGCGATCCACTTCCGGTCTCTTCCCAGCACACGGCTGCAGGTGCCCCCTGCCCCCTGGAAGGGGCA